GTAGTTAGTGGAGAAGATTTTCAAATTTTCGGCATTATCTTGGGCCATGTTGGCCCTTTTGACCCATGAACAGATGATCGGTTTGAGTTAGTTGTCCAGATTGTTTAGATCAATCTTTTTGAAACAGTTAAGAATTAATTTTTAATAATTGATAATTATTAATATTTATAATTTAAAATATTTAATTTATTTAATTAAAATCAATAATTAATAACTATTTTTAAAATATTAAAATAAAGGCTTCAGTAGACTATTGTGATGCCCGAGGGTTGGAGCAAGTGGCACCTGAATTGAATATTGGGAGGTACATGGTTAGCTCTTGAGCTCAAAATCGAGTGGAGTTCGGTTGGTTTGTTAAAGAGCTATTCGCGAGCATGGTCAAGTGTTTAGGAACTTTCTTCCAACTCGGAGAGGTTATAAAGCTTGTTTAGTTTGTGGTAGTGAATAATTTTTTGTCAGACTATAAACCAAGTTAAAATTGAAAAATTATCATTAGAAATTAGAAATAGGTAAGTTTTAGTGTTTATTTTTTTTACATTATAAAAAAAAAATTAAAAAAAATACATATTTCTTAAAAAAAAAGAGAAAGAAGATATATCACTTCTTTAACTCTTAATTTAATAAAAAAATATATAATATTAATAAAAATTTAGTTATTTCTAACTTTTTCAAAAAAAATTTAAATTTATCTTATTTTTATAATTTGATCACAAGATAATTACTTACTATCATCAATCAAACAGAGTTTAAAGATCAAGCTCTGTCTTCATTGATTTGTTTGAAAAAAAAAATAAATGAAGAATCTATGTGTTGTCTTTTTTAACCTTAAAATGATGACACAACGTGGAATAGATATTTGCTACGGATGGCCAAAAAATGATATTCGTTATGAATTTTCACTAAGATCTTCGATATTGTTTGAATTAATTATTTAAATACAGTTAATTAGATTAATTGTTGAATACAATTGAGAGTTGATGATTAATATACAATTATTAATATTTGTTATTGTGACAGCTAGAAAATAAATCTCATAGAGCCTCTCTCCTTTTCCTTGTAGCTGTTACATTGTTCTTTTTTTTTTTTTTCCTTAGTTGTTGTCTCTCTCTTTTGGTGGCTAAGGAGAATTAACATATGTAAGAGTTTTTTTCTCGAGAGTCGTTTATCTCTCTTTGAGGGTCTTTTCTTTTTTGTGAGAATTTTTCCCCTTTAATTTGGGGGAAGGGGTTTGCTTGGGCTCTCTCAATGGTTTTCATAAGATTTTGTCCCAAAGTCAAAGAAAATGACATTGTAGTGATAACTTTCTTTTATATTAATTTGAGTATGGCTTTGGTGGTTTTTAAATGAAACTTCAACTCTTCTCCAAGTTTAGACTATTGCGAACTCTCGTTTGGCATTGAATTGGTGGGGATTATTGTTTTCCAGATTACTTGTTCTCTCGAAACTTGATGTGGTAGTTGAAAAAGTTTAGTACATTTAAACATGCACCGTGGCTTTCTTTTACTCTTGCAGCATCCTACATGTTACTATAACGATTGAGAAGACAATCTTTAAATTTAGATGTATTCTTGCACTTAATTATTTTTATTTATTATAGGTATAGTTTTTATTTTTATTAAATACCATAAATTATAGCTTAAACTTGACTTTAGATTCCTTTATATATAAGGATTCATATATAATTTTCTTTCACTTAATAAATTTTTTTTATTTCTATTAACGATTTAAATAATTTAATAGTAAATCTTTTTCGACTAAAAATAAAAAATCTTGAATTTGATTTACATGACATAAAAAATATGATAAAAAATATATAAAGATTATCTTTTATTATATAATCAAGATAAAAAAAAAGTTTTTATTTCTCATAAAAAGAAATATTTGTTGTTATTTATTTATTGATTATTTTTTTTATTTGAACAAAGAATTATCTATTTGATATCATTAATGCTTAAATATTTAATTTTAACCTCCAATCACAATTTCTAAATTAGTGGTTGGTAATTCTGAATTTGTTATTATTGTTGATATTGTTTATGCTCTACCAACTCCAATATTCGAATTTCTGTTTATACCCTACAGGCCTACATTCTCTAACCTGTCCTATCCATGTCAATGATAGTTGATTTTAAAAAGTTAAAACAAACAACGCAGTGAATGAAATGCAGAAAAAATGAAAAATAAAATCCAAAATCCGGCCGTTTTGCATCGGCGGATAAACCGAAGCCAAAACATAGAGTATGGCAGTATATTTCCTTAAATACCCTTCCCAACTTTAAAGGAAAAGACGATCCCTTTGTGTGGAACCACTCGCAAATCTTCCCCAATAACAGGGGCATCTCTGTAACTCAACACTTCCAAGCCGGAATGAACCGCTTGCATATATCCTTTTGTTCTAATTTCCTGGCAAAAAAATATCCCCATTTCCTCAGCACTTTCATTTTCTCTCTTTTATCTCTTCAATCTCGCCTCTGAAACTCCGTCGGCGTCCCTCCCATGGCTTCCTCTGTTGCTCCGGTGTCGATCTCAGGTACATGTTCTAGTGTTTTTTTCTTCTTTTTTTTTTTTTCTTTATGTACTCTCCCTCCGTTGGTCATCTCTTTCGATGATTTTAACATCGCGATAACTGTAACCATGATCGATGTAGATCAGAAGCATGTTCAGATCCAATCCAATCGTTGCGATTTCTGATTCATTTGTGTTTCGATTTTAATTATTTTCGAGTATTGTCACTATATATTGTCGGCCCCAAAAAAAAAAAAAGAAAAAAAGATGTTACTATTTATCATTCAACTATTTGCAAATGTTCAAATGAATCCTTGAACTTTATGTCTGTGCTGCGCAATGGTTCTTACTTTGGGTTTGTTTTTCCTTTTTATGTGTATATGATTAGGTGGTTCACATGTTAAGGCTCATGAAGTTTGGTCTGCAAAGTCTAATAAGCTTGCGAAAACATCAAGTTTGGCAGTTGGGAGGAAATCAAACCAACTGCCTTCCAACCGCAAGTTTGCAGTTTGTGCAGAGTACCGGTATACGATTTGGGCAGCAGTTGTTTTGAATTTAGATTAATCTTTATTATTCCGGCTAGGGAAAAACAATCATAGAGTTGATTTTAGGTTTTTCTATTGCATTGCATACTCAATTGTTCCCTTGTAGCGTTGCTATGTATTTATTTTTTTCTTTATTGCTGTTTGTTTTGGTGCATGCAGAGACAGTAATAGGGGTGGGGGAAGTGATTTTGTTGCTGGTTTTCTTCTAGGAGGTGCTGTGTTTGGAACATTGGCATATACTTTTGCTCCTCAGGTTGTTAACATTTGCTTTCATCTTGATTCCTCCTTTTTATGTACCAAACCTAAGGAATGACTTTAAGTTTGATTATCTGGTATTGCCCCATTCCATTAGATTTCATTTTGTTCTGTTTTGTATTGAAAAATATTGACCTTCCACATTGATGTGCTGAATGTGGATTCCTTTCTAGAGTCTGGAAATTTGGAACCTGTTCAACTGAGTTAATATATCTGTTATTAAATTTTCATGCTATCTGAAAGTCATGATAGCTTTGTATCTGCACCTTAGAGAGGGGATTATACATTGCTTTCAAACAGCATCTTGAGTATATCAGAGAAGTAATATGGGTGATCCTATCCTATCTCAATTTCCCTGTCTCAAGCCATAAATAATAGTGGGTATTTTTACTCTGCTGTTACATTGTGCTAGATGTTGTTATAAATGCACCATCAATTATACTCTACAATATATTGTTGCCTAGTTATTTTGCACTAGGAATTTTCTGTTTCTTTGTCTTCTACCTTTAAGTTTTGGTCATTCTGGTTTGATCCTAAGTTGTTAGTTCTATTAGTTCAGATCAGAAGGGCCTTGTTGAATGAAGATGAATACGGATTTCGGAGACCCAAGCGACCAGCATATTATGATGAAGGTCTAGATGAAGGTCTAGAGGTAATGGACTCTATTACAAGGAATTTGCTGTTAATTGGTATGTGCTTATATCTGATCTTCATTTGGAATTTTTCTTTACTTTTTTCTGAAAGCAGAAAACCAGGCAGACCCTCAATGAAAAAATCACCCAACTCAGTTCCGCAATTGACAACATATCCTCAAGATTGAGAGGTGGCAACAATTCACCTAAAATATCAAGGAAAACTGATCTTGAGGTAGAAAGCTATCATCTGGTCCATGCCTCTATTGCTAGTTATCAGCCATATCTATTGTTTAAATATTGCTTTAGTTGTGAAATGCTAATAATGTATATATAATGTTAATTTGAATGTACAATTATGCCTTCTTGATATTATGTCAGTTATGTGTTATTGATTTTAATTCTTCAATGGCAAAGATCTCTTTCATTTGGATGAGCAATTGAAAGGTTGGTGTTCAATTGCAGGGCTCTCTTGAGAAGGATTCAGCCGATACAACTCAGGCATATATATAGGGAGTACCATGAGTACTAGCCCAGTTGGTGAAGATGGGAGCAAGCAGTTTATTCTAAATTTTTTTTTTTTTATCTTTCCTCAGTATCATGGTTTTATGTTCTACTCTGTTGCGAATATTATAGGGTTTCATACCCCCAAGACATCCTTATGTGAATTGATGTTTGGTAGACGCAATACCGTAAGTATGCTCCTAAGAAAATGATTTTTCGCTACGACAAGAACATGTTGAAAAAATGAGCTTTTTTTTCTGAAGGCGCATCACCTGCGACTGTGTTAGTCATTTCTATGTCCATGTTATTATTATTATTATTATTCTTTTTTAAGGTGGTGGCCTTGGGAGTTTTTGACTGTCAAATGTGTCCGGATTAGCGTTTTTGTATTTTTAAATGGAGAAATTACACATAACCTATTTGTGGTTTAAGATGAGTACATTTAGAGGCTTGTGGTGTCGAAATATGCACTTAAAAACTTGTGTTTTGAATTGTGAGTACTAAACTCTTTTTGTCATTCAAATTATGTTAAAATTACGTGTAATATCTTAAATATTCTTGACTTAAAAAAAAAAAAATTTAACCATTGCACAGGCTTTATTTATAGCAATTTTCAAAAATCAACTCAAGTGAAGAAGAAAACCAAACAAAATAACTCTCTTCAGGTAATTGAATAGAATCTTTTAATCTATTGTAGTTTATATTTCGAAGGGAAGCTTTGTTTCTAATTTTTTTGTCATCGATTTTTTTGTCTTTGGTTGGAAGTTTTGTTGTTTGTTTAGGATTTAGAACATGAGGATTTCATTTGAAAATTGATATATTCTATTTTGGTCACTTGCAGTTTTAAATAATATATTTTTGATTTTATACATATTTAGTTTTAATTAGTTTTGATAGTATATGCTAATTATGAATATTTTATACATGTGTACATTTTTTTTTTTCAATTAAATTACATAAGTAGTTTGATTGTGATTAGTTAAAATGAACGAATGAATTAATTACTATTAATTTTTTTTTTTTTATGTATTTTGATAGATGGATGGTAATGAGTTGTCAAAAAATAATGAGATTGTAAGTGGTTCTAATGAGATAAACGAACTACAATCTAACTTTGAGGGAGTTTGGGATCTTGGAGTTGAAGAAGATGTTGAGGTCCTTGAGGACTAGGGAATTGAAGAGGAACCCATTAATAGTGATGATGAATTGCAGAGTTTAGTGAATAGTGATGATGAAAGGAATCAAAATTTTTCTGTTTTTAATGACAAAACTGGGATGAAGGCACCAGATCTTAAATTGGGAATGACATTTAGAAACCATACTGTATTTAGAGTTGCTTTGAAGGAATGTTGCATACAACGTGGCTTTGATTATCGCTACTTGCACAATGACAAGAAGAGGATTACTATAAGGTGCAAGCATTTTGACACCCGTAACTTTTGGGTTCATGCATAAAAAATTCTTGATGATGGAACAATGCAAATTAAGACTTTTAGGCCAACTCATCAATGTTCGATGGAGGAAATAAATCGTCTTGTGGATTCTAGATACTTGTGCGATAAGTACTTAGATGACCTTAGATACAATCTCAACATACCGAATGATGCCTTTATGGAAAGGGCATTTAGAGAGTTGTCTTCTAGAGTTTCTAGATTTCAAGCTTACAGAACAAAGAAAAAGGCCGAAATTATTGGTCAAGGGGATTTCAAAGCTCAATATAGGTTTGTGAGGGATTACTGCAACATGATTTTGTTTACTAATGAAGGTAGCACTGCTTGTGTGGGCGTGGAAGTTGTGCCACCCAAGGTGATAGATGGAATTCCACAACAAATGAGTCATACGTTTGAGAGAATGTATGTGTGCTTTAATGCACTGAAGGTTGGGTTTCTTAGTGGTTGTAGACCTATAATTGGCATTGATGGTTGCCATTTAAAGGGACCGATAGGTGGGCATATACTATCTGCTATAAGTCTTGATGGGAATGATAACATGTATCCTATTGCCATTGCTGTTGTGGAAGCTGAAACAAAGAACAGTTGGAAATGGTTTCTAGACTTACTTCATAGAGACATTGGTCATACTAATGACAAGAATTGGGTATGGATTTCTGACAAACAAAAGGTAAATAAATTATTTTTTATTGATTATTTTTCATACTATAAATATTAGAAACTAATTAAACCTATTTTGTTTTTTAGGGGTTAGTGGAAGTATTTGATGAAGAAATGCCTTATGCAGAACACAGATTCTGTGTAAAGCATTTATATGAGAATTTTAGAAAGGAGTTTAAAGGAAAGGAATACAAGGAAGCTTTTTGGGTAGCCGCAAGAGCAAATACGATCAAAGAATGGGAAGTAAAAATGAAGAATCTTCAGAAAATGGATAATGGTAAGGCATTTGCTTGGTTGATGAAGTTTAACCCCACAACATGGACAAGGTCACACATGAGTGCACATTCTAAGTGTGACCTTTTGGTCAATAATGTATGTGAGTCATTCAATCAATATATCAAGGAGGCAAGAGATAAGCCCATCATTTGCATGTGGAATTGGATTAGAAAAAATTTAATGAAGAGAATTTTAGATAGGGAAGAAGGGATGCAGAAATATCCTGGACCTATTTGTCCTAACATTCAAGGTAAACTAGAGAAAATTAAAGTTGACGGCAGAACTTGTAAAGCTACAGCAGTGGGAATCCTAAAATATGAGATTGAAGGAGGTGGTCCGACTAGGACTGTTGACTTGGCTGCAAAGGTATGTTCTTGTAGGCAATGGGACATAATTGGAATCCCCTGCAAACGTGCAGTTGCATGCATATGGAAGAACAGAGAGAATCCAGAAGACTATGTTGACAGTTGCTACTCAAAGGCAACATTTTTGGATACATATAAAGTGAAAATGGTTCCAATTCCTGGAATGGATGAATGGGAATCAGTTGGTCTAAATCCAGTTGAGGCACCTATTATTAGAGAACCACCTGGGAGACCAAGAAAGGTTAGAAAGAAGGCAGTTGACGAACCAAGAAACCCTTACAAAGTTTCAAGGAGAAACAAGCCTGTCAAGTGTGGAAATTGTAATCAAGAGGGACACAATTCTAGAGGTTGTAGAGCTGCTGTAACTGGAGAAACAACATGGCAAAGGAGGATGAGAAAACAAGCAGAAAAAAGGGTGGTTAATGTACCAAGTTACCAATGTAGAACAAGCACAAGTTATTGCCAACCCAGAGCAAGCACAAGGCAAGACTATTGTTAATGTAGAGCAAGGAAAAGGCAAAGCTGTTGCCAAGGAGTTGAATGAACATTCACATGTTAGAATCTCACAACCTAAGGTAAATATTATTTTCCGATTTTATGTATACTATTTTTTAGAATATGATTATATAATCAATATATAAAATTTTAACTATTTAGGTGAAAAGGAAAACTGGGGAGTCAAGCGCCCAGCAAATAGGTATAAAAAGCAGGAAAATATCAAGTCCTAACGACCTTGTAGGAACTCAATCGGTAAGTAACTATCATACATGTTTTTGTTGGATAGTATAGTTATGCTGTGTAAATTAAAATCAATAATTGTGTTTTACTAAGCATTAATTAATCTTTCAGCATGCACTAACATTGACTGAAATTGGAAGAGGAAGTTCCTCTGAAACAGGACATGCCATTGCAAGTCCCATCGGTAGAACAAGAGAAAAAGGAAAGAAAAATTCAAAAGCCCAAGAAGTTGCAACATCAACTCAATGAGCTCGAAAGCCTTAATTAAAGATAGGATAGGCGAACAATGTTTCTTGTAATGGGAATATTTTTTTCTTTTGTGCTTAGAGCATGTTTGTTGTTTTATGATGACTTTTTATACTGGAGAATTGGAATTAGGGACTTTTAATGTTGATTTAATCTCAAGAAATGTACCTAGACGTAACTACATGGATGCCTTGCTTTAATTCAAATGTTAATATATTATTTTGCTTTAAATGCAATTTGTTACAAAATATTAGTAAGTTTGATTTTTCCATGTACTTAGAGACTTGAAATGAAGGGTTTGTGTGTTTAAAATCTAGTTTTAACGTGAATATATTTCATAGTGTTGGGTAAAATGATGATATTAAGCAGGAAGGGTATTAGAGGAATTAAAATAAAAAGTGAAATTTTTTGTTAGGTTTTTAATGATAAAAATGTCTTAACTACTTTTATTTCAAACCACAAATTTTTAAGTGCATATTTTCATATTACAAGTCTTTAATTAGATTCACTTTAAACTACAAGTAAGTTAAGAATAATTTTTCCCTTCTAAATTAATTATTCTCTGAAGGATTTTAAAAGTACATTTCTCAGCTTTTTTTTTTTTTTTGAAGGGACATTTCTCAGCCTTGTGCATTAGAGGATTGTGTTTAGTCCTTAAAATCAAATTAAGTGGGGGCCAATAAAATGGTAGTCTTGCCATGTCAAAGCTTTCACAATCACAGCTGGTTTGGATTTGATCGTGAGTTGCCCAAACCATGGCTGTGATGGTGGACTAGCGCTACATGGCAAAAGGTGTTTACTTGTGGGCTAAAGTCAACTATAGACCCTCTACCTTCGATTTTCATTTATTGCTCCGTATTTAGAAGGGCCAAAGGAGTTATTTGCACCCTCCACTTAATTATTTTTCACGCTCAACACCTTTCAAAATTTTTCCTCTCTATTCATATTTTCAACTTTTCAAAACTTATGAAAAACTCAACATTTTAACGTGTCGTCACGGTACCGTTATAAAATACATTACGTGGCACTATATGCTGTTAATAATCCAATGTGGATCTCTTTTTTTAATGATGTGGCTTATTTTACACACAAGTGGACGCCACATCATTAAAAATAAATTTGCATAACTATTTTGGGAATTTAGGGTTTATTTTCATCCCCTTCTTAATCTTCCTCGAGCTTTCCATCCATGGTTCTAATGGAGGTTGATTCAAATTGAAAAAAAAAAAAGAACAATCTTTTAATTCATTTGTAAGAAACGTTGAGAACCAATCAAAGAATCAAATCGTCATCTTATTATTCTATCATAACCAGAAACAATCACAGAAAAGAAAGGCGAAAGAAAGGCGAAAGAAAGGTACAAACTGGGTTCCTCACGAACCCAGCTCTGTGGAACCCAGAGCTGGGTTCGACAAAAAAAACTAGCCGCAAGCCCCCCCCTTTAGACTCCGATCTTCATCATCCCATCATCATCAATCATCACTCTTATCACCATCACCCTCATCAATCCCCAAGCAACCAAAAAAAGAAAAAATTCTTCTCCTAGCTTCTCTC